CCACACCACACCACACCACACCACACCACACCACACCACACCACACAACACCACAGCCCACACCACACCACAGCCCACACCACACCAAACCAAACCACACCACACCACACCACACTGCACTACACCACACCACACGCCTCATATCTCACACCACACCTCACCACACCACACCACACCATATTATGTCTCATACCTCACCATACCACAGCACATCACTTAATCTATAGCCTACTTATTATATTTGTGAAAGTTCGTCACTTTGGCTGCCTAAACTTCGGAACCACTTAACTTTCGAATTTGACAAAATTAATTGTGGTTCAGAATCATTTAAAGGGTGCACTATTCCATAGAGGAGCCTGAAGTCAATGTAGTTTAATTTTCAGTTTTTCATTAGTTTCATTTTAAGATCTAATCTCGGGAAATCCGTCTTCTAAGACTCCGTTGTAAACAAGTGAGGTTTCCGTTCAATAGCCGTGCGCACTGTTTCCATACCTTTGAAATTATGGAGTGTAAAACCACGAAAGCGGAATAGAGAATCAATCTATACATCACTATATCTAAACCTTCAAATTTTTTTTTCATCTCTCAGGATTTATTGCTCCATTCGAGTAGAGTGTAAATATAGTAGGCTGATGATGTTACTGCACCAATCATTCCTTTCATAACTGTGTATAACTGTGACCCGCCTTTTCTGTCCTCAGATGGCTTGGAGACGGCTACAGGACAGCGGGACATCCCCGGGCAGTGACCAAGACCTCCTGGGCGTCCAGCGATAACTCACTCTCACCGCACGTGTGGTCAGTCGGTCCGTCCTTCTGGTCGTACAGGCAGGAACTCTTAACACCACCCCCCCCAACCCCACACTACCCGCTGAACCGTCGGGTGAGTGGGGCAAAAGTGTCGCCACCTAACTCACTCACTCTCCCAGGTGCTCTGAGATCTGACCTCTGTGCTGCAGTGACGTCACGTTTTGGGTCTTCCAGTCCCGGACCGCTGTTCTGTTCTTTTTTTCTTCTTTTTTTCCCCCCCCTTTTCTTACATTCCAGTTATCAGCCGGTGGAGTTATTGTGAGATTTTTTTTTTTTTAATTCTCAGATTATAAATCAGGAGAGTTTTATTATAATAATTTCATCTACTTCGTGTGTTCGAAGTTGGGACTGAGTACCGGTATAATATTTTTGATTGCCGGTCTGTTGTGGATTTTTTCTTAGTTTGGATTTTTTGTATTGTGGGTTTTTTTTGGGTGTTTTTTTGTAGTTTGGATATTAAGGTGTTGGCCTCTGTACCCTGACCTCGGAAAATATTCGTACATCACGTCACTGATTGCGTCACATAGGAGTGAGACCTGATTGGTTAATTTCCCAACATGGACTCTACAAAAATTAAAGAGGAAAAACCGTCATTGTCTCCGCAACAGCCACAGCTGCAACAGCAACAGCAACAACAGCAGCTGCCACAACAACAGCAGCAACAACAGCAACAGCTGCAGCAGCAGCACTCAGGACAACAACAGAGTCACCAGCTGCAGCAGCAACAGCTGCAACAGCAGCA